CATACTTTCGACAAAGTTAATAAATAAGCGGATAAATATAAAGGAGGGAAAATTATAAACGTAGAAATAGTCTTGAAATTATAATTATTTGACATAAATAACACTTATTATACATTAATACAAAGCAGTATTATTAATTTATATATATTAGATATACGCTAAACACATATAATTTTCATTGATCTGCATTAATACAAAACAGCATAATCGATTTATATATATTAATTAGATACACATAGAATTTTTATTCGTTAGTATGTATTAGATGTACATAGAATTTTTAGCAACCTGCGTAATTTTTTGATATTTAATATTTTTTTCAATATACACACTTTCGACAAAGTTAATAAATAAGTGAGTTAATAAATAAGCGGATAAATATAAAGAAGGGGGGAAAATTATAAACATAGAAATAGTCTTGAAATTATAATTATTTCATATAAATAACACTTATTATATGTTAATATAAAGCGGTATTATTAATTTATATATATTAGATACATGCTAAACATATATGGTTTTCATTGATCTGCATTAATACAACACAGAATAATTGATTTATATATATTGATTAGATACACATAGAATTTTTATTCGTTTGTATGTATTAGATGTACATAGAATTTTTAGCGACCTACGTATCAAAGTAACCCCCTGAGCATCCGACCGAATTGCCATCTCTAAGCGGGCGCATACATTGTGCCTTGATTAAAATAACAAGTCTTGACCCATGTCGAGTCTAATGGCCGTACTTGAACTTGATAGAGCACACAAGTCCAGCGGATAGGGGCCCAATCTTTTAGCATGGATGCAACGCAACGGCTGGAAAATACTATAATGTATAGTCCCAATTCCGACTGTGCCTTAATCAGGGAGTAATCAATAAAAGATTAACCCAGCCCCACATCATAGGACTTGTAAGTTCCAACCGAAAAAAAGCCCCAAGCTTTTTAGAACCATGGGGCTAGCACTAGCAGTTGTGAGCTTTAGGGTCTATCTATGGGCCTTTGTTGAAGAAAGATACTGCTCGGAGACGGGCCTTCAAGCATGCTTCGCGATAATTGTGAAATGTTAGTGTATTACTGCCGTGGTCTTTAGTCAAGAAGCAAAACATTAGTCTTTCCGTCAACAAGAATTGGATTAATAACATGCTCAGTATTCTTGATGGTATTCCATTAAGGCCACGACATAATTAATTATTCTCAGCCCTTTTTCTTTTCTTTTCTTTTTTTTGGAGTGCATGGCTAGATGGTTATTTGTCCTCTGCAAATTAAAGTCTTCTGTTCCTCCCTCCACTTTGTATTTTCCATTAACTCCTTTTAAATATTAAGGCAAAATAATTTCTACTGTATTTTTTTTACAGTATAACATAACATTACTGACTGTCACCTAGTGCTTATATGAACTTGCCTCATTAACACGACACAAACTTCAGACTCCAACAATTTAGTTCAAGTACTAAATTACAAATTTGGTATTGTGCTACCCTCAACAATGGCATGGCAAAATGAAAAACATTAGTAGTACCAAATCATCTCCATTGGAAACAAGCAAGCAGATCACAAAAAGTCTATACACAATTTAAGGTTTTTTTTTTTTGGTTTTTTTAGGCCCTCAGCAGGATCTATTTGAAAGACAGATACAAAACACATGCATATTACAATAGCAAGATTTTAGCAAAAGGAAAAGAAAAACAGTAGTATATAATGTTCAAAATAATACGTGTATTGTCGCGAATTTCTTGAAGCTGAATCGTGCAGTGCTATTTGATCATCCGTTTGAAAAAATCCAATTGCCAAGAGATGATAATCGCAATAGCGGATATTATGTAAATGGCCCAGGAAAGGAGCTTGAGCCACAGAGAAGAAAAGGCCGTGATTGCCAGAAAAAAGGCAGTGACGCCGCTAAATACTCCGACGTACTGGAGCAACCGAGCCTGTGCTCCAAAATTTGGAGCCACAAACTTGGAGACCACAAAGGCGGCCAAGGAGAAAACCAAACCCAGCCGAGCCACGTCCAAGCTAACAGATAGATGTAGGTGGCTGGAACTTTGGCACTGCAAGCCGATGCCGATGCCGATTGCTGCAAAGCTATAACCCATAATTAAGGTAAGCCATTCTGGATTTATTTCGGGACGACGGTTGTTCTGGTCAGCAGCAGCTGGCTGGGGAAGCGGTTGATGGTGGGACGTTGGTTTGCCGGGATCCTCCAAATCCATTTCTGCTTTGACAGCTGGGCACTCCGGTGATGATGGTGGGGTTGGTGGCGGAGAGTCTTGGACTTTCTCCATTTTCAGCTCCACCGAAGTAATTTTACTTTTTTGAAGAAGTTGCAGGATGGCTACTTCTGCAATGCAGCATGCATTTATAGAGAAAATTGCGGTTCATGAAGGGGTGAAGGGAGGTGCATGGTTCCAGTGTTCCAGAAAAGGGGTCAGAGATCAGGTTTAAGGTCCTCAGCCAAGGGTTCAAAAGTCCCACCCAAAACAGGTACTTACTTGCATACACGGTTTTTTTTTTTTTTTTGGCCCCGCCTCCAAAGTCCATCCCATTTGCTGACTCTATAGCGGCGGCATCTTCCAACTGAAGAATTTTTTTTTTGGATTCGACTCTGTTGTGAATAGACACGTGTGATTTTGTCCAAAATGAAAATTTCAAACACTACTATTTCGTAGGCTTTATACTATGTAAAGATCAGTCTAAATTGTACAATTTCAATTGTAAATAAGATTGAGATTTTCACTCTTGACTTTAGCCAGTAAGTCAACTTCTAAAAGAATGGGGACAAAATAATAGTGTGTAAAAGAAAAAAGTTGTTAAAAATATATTGAGATTTAATTTGAGATAATAAACAAAACCCTTGAGTACGTTAATAAGCCAAAATGGAGAATTTAACCTAAAAGCTGTTAATTTATAGGATCAGTAAATTATTGCATAATAGATATGTAGTTAAAATCTTACTTCAAGATATACAACATAATTAATATCACAGGGGCATGAATGTATTATTGAGAAGTCTGCAAAATTAAATAAGATATGCATGAGCATAACATTAATTGCCATCGTTTGTTTTGTTTTTAAATGCTCCATTCATTTAATTTAGTGTCAGAGAAAAGAAAAATCATCACTTCAAATTTCTTTCATTATTTGAAACCAATGGGTGTAATACTTAATGTTTTTACCTGCAACACATTATGAAGATTGATATTTTTTCCAAGGGGAAGCATCCAACCCCCGAGATGGTATTTGATGAATCGATCGTGTGCATCACGTAGCATGTAGCATGGATACACCAGTATCGATCATTCATCGCCAAAGAAAGCACTTGGGATTCTCGGTGACATGTTTTCTATGCCAATCCAATGCCACTAATAGTGTTGCGCCAAGTGTCTTGTTATTAATTATCCTTTTATTTTCTAATAATTCAACTTGGCTTGGTTTAACACAAATATAAATAATAACATGATACTTGGTGCAACACTATTGGTGGCATTGGATTGGCATAGAAAACATGTCACCGAGGATCCCAAGTGCAAAGCAAGGTAGCAAATCATTTCTAGTCTAATGGAAATGCAATACAAGAAATGACCTGATCATAATACTTAGCGACTTTTGATTTCCATTGGTGCATTGTTACGCTGGAACTTTCAGATGCATTGCCCCTGCAGTTCTTCAAAGTAGAAATTAGAGTTACATTTCCCTTCACTCGCACCTAAGCAAAAGTATTCCTGGAAACAAAAAGAGACAAGTAAAAGAGACATGTGGGACAGTTCGGATTAGTTCGTTTGATTGAAAGGGAAAACTACAAACATCTATTGTGGTTCATGAAGGGGTGAAGGGAGGTCCATGGCTCCAGTCTTCCAGAAAAGGGATCAGAGATATATACCAACATCTCAAGGTCCTCAGCCAAGGGTTCAAAAGACCTACACACAATACTTGCATACACGGTTTTGGATTTTGTGGGCTCCCGCGTTGGCGTTGCGTTAAACACTAAAGAATTACACTTAATGCCCACATACATATGCTCCTTTTAACTTTTAACTACTCAAAATTCAGAATAGCTATATATTGTTTGATGAAACATGACAACTAGAAAATTAAATAAAAAGCCCAAGTTAAGTCACAAAATTATAGACATAAAATGGTCATGCAATTAATATTGACGAGATAGATACATCAAGTTGACCAATAAGAGAGCTGCCCAAAGAGTACTAAGGCTACTAACATTAGTAGAAAGAATGAAGATCCAACTTTATTCGTTGGTGGAGGCATTAACTTTTTAACTTTGGTTGGATTTCTCGTTTCCTCCACAAGCTGTTTTTGTTTATGAAATTTACGGTAACAAATTTAAAAAATAATTAAAAAAAAAACACAATCTCAAATACATTTAACCAAACAATAATAATAATAATAATATAATATAAAATTAAAGAACCTCCACCACCTCTTTCTCTTTTTCTACCCGCCACCCATCAAAATAATAAAATTTTTTAAAAAATATTTTAATAAAATTATAAATTTTAAAAACACTCCAAAATACATCTCCAAAATTATCTAATCCAAACGAACAATCTACAGTAGAAAGTTTTTCACATGCACAGCTATAATAAAAATTTTTGAAAGAAAATACCTAATATATATGAAGCTGTAGGATACTAGAAAACTAACGCAATTCATCAACATATATTCTGAACCCAGGGCTCAGGGGTTCAGGGTGCAAGGACTGGGGATCTGGGGAGGGGGGGGGGGGAAGGGGTCCCATATATTCTTATATATTTTATTATTTATTAAAAAAATAATTATTTTATTTATTTTTAAAAAATAAAATAATTATTTTTTATTTTTTCGCGCTAGAATTCGAGCTTTAAATTGCCAATTCGTCAAGTTCAAGATTGAGTTCGAGTTCAATAAAATTAAATCAAGGCCCGACTCGATGATGCTAAAATTTGACTCCGCCGTTTGCAGCACAACTCTTAACATATTCAGCTCTTCATCTTTCATTTTTTTTTTCTTTTTCCAGAAATATGTCAATTCAAGACCACTAATACGACCATATTCTCCAGCAAAATCTCCCTTTTGTCAATCTGCTGTAAAGGAAAGCAGACTTTGGTTGACTCTCATTTTAGGCGCGGGAGCAGGAAAATCAGCCGTCGTCGCCCCGTGCAAGGGCGGGCATGGCTGAAGTTAGAACACGACGCCCCAACGACGTGGAGGATATTGACGGAACTTTTAGTAAATCGGAGTTCCTGGATTACATTGGTACTAAACTTCACACGTCCGTAAGCACCTCTCGCAAAAGTTTTCGAGTTTTCTGGGACGAGGAAGATGATGAATCAGATAGGCATCAGACACTCTTTTCCCAGGGTAACTGTTAAGTTGTTTTTTTTTTTTTTTTTTTTTAATTTGGCCATCAATTTTCCCTTTTGTCAACCTGCATATTTACTTAATATTATCACAATTTTTTTGGATAGTGGGTCCACCTTTACTTCCTCCTCCCATTGTCAAGGACAAGATCAAAACTGCGCTGCAGCATGTAGATCTCCTGTATAATCGAGCAATGCTAGCTCAGTTCTGGGTGCCGGTGATGATCGGGGGACGACGATTCCTGAAATCCTCAGACCAGCCTTTTGGGTTGACTTGCTTAAGGAAAGGACTATGTTCGTACAGAAAGCTGTGTCTGAATTATTACTACTGTACGGATAATACCTGCAGTAGTGATGGTGGTGCTGATTATGTGGATGTGGATGTGGATGTGGACTGGAATGGCGGAGGAGGGGTAAGAGAAAGCGTGCTTCTCACTGGTCCGCCTTCACGTGTCTTTCTTCGTGGACTGCCGGAGTATAGCCCAAACGTGGAGTTCTACGCGGACTCGGAATATGCTTTAAGGGATGAGGCTATGGGCCGTAAGATAAGTGACTATATGGCTGTGCCTGTGTTCGATCCCAATTCCCGAGAATGTATTGGCGTAATTGAGCTGCTTTCAACTGCTGACTCAGTAAGAGGTAAGTAATTAGTATTAAAATTACACAATTTCTGGTCACGGCCAGACGTGGGAAAGGAAGGGGAGTGGGGGAAGGCGGGGGAAGGGAGGGAGAAGAAGGAAGGCGGGGAGGGCAGGGGAGGGGCAGGAGGGGGTGGCGGTGGTAGTGGTGGTGGAAGAAAAAATGTGGGGGAAGGCGGGGGATTTGTTTTTTATTTTTATTTTTGGGGGTATTTTTGTAAGCTGCATTTGAGATTGTGTGTGTGTGTGTCTTTCTAAAATTATTATTAATATTGTGGGCTCTAAATATAAAAACGATTTTTGAAAAAAAAAATCATATTCATAGAGACCCATAGTTTTCTATTTACTTGCAACTGAGTAGAGCTCAATCCCGCTACTTGCAAGCTTTGTTCGATCATCTGTTTCAACTCAAACAGCTCGAAAAGCTTAATCAACTCGTGTCTGAGCTTAACGTGTGAGGCTCGAAAGTTCATCGAGTCCAATGCTTTTTCAAGAGTTGAAATAGAATTTGCTTCGGAGCATTGGCCACCAACGTATATGTAGACATTGACCTAGGGGGGATTCTTGGGCTATTGAACGTCGGTTGTAAAAGAAGTTAGGTGCTGGTTTATAAATATGATGAAAAAGACTTGCCTCTTCAACTAGTTTTTTACTGTCTAGAGTAGGAAGACAGAATTACGTGCACCCAGGATAATAATCATTTTACTTTACAGCTAGCTTTTCGCAAGTACAAATTCGGCTAATTGGAAAATCCTCGTGTTGCCAAATTTGGAGTTTTTAACATGGCGGCAGTGATACTTATAGTTTGACACCACAATGTTTTGCTAGGTTAAACCTAAATCCTAAAGGTGAACTGACAGATGACGAATTATCTGTTGGTGCAAATCAGAGTAATATAAACTCAAATTATTTGTTGGTGCAAATTGGAGGAATATAAATTCGTAATGAATAACAAGAAATTGGTTTCAAGTCGTGAATTAGGTTCACTTTTGTTTAGATTAAATTCGTCCTCTATTTAGTATAAAACCATAGATGAATTTCCTTTAGAATGAAATGAAGTTTGTCTTGATAATACTTTATACTGTTGAAAAAAGATCCTAATGAAGAAGTGTTTGACGTACTTTTACAGAATATCTAGCATTAATAGAATGATTTTCTACAACAAATTAACCCTCAATTGATCTCTTTATAAACTAGGAAATGTCACATATTGGTTACAATCATCCAAGTGATAACCTTTCACTGTGAAAAGTAGTTACCTCTATTGTGAGGGTGCCAGAACAATTGCAACACTCGTATGAACATTTATCTTGTAACCTTTAATTTCTTTTGAAAATATCCAACAATCTCCCACCATTTTCAAATGATTGAAAATGTACTTGAAGATCACAGATTATTCTGAAAATCTTATGCATAAATAATGGTGTCTTTTGATTGAACCACTATCTAGGTGAAAGTTCTTTGTAACAAGTCAATACAAGATGGTAGGTAAGTTTTGAACTGCTTATATGTTAGACAAGTCTCATGAATACAACACATGTATATTTTATACACAAACACTAATTCTATAAAATAATACATATATAGGCCTTATATCCATATTCTTTCTTGAATGTTTCAAAGTGAAGCCCTTAAACTTTGATGTTTACCAAACTTAGATTCATATAGGCGACATCTTAGTGCCTCACCATTAGTAGCATTTTCAAGATTTGTTAAGAGTCAAACAACTCACTCACCTTATACTGGTGAGAATAATATGCACTATTCTACTTCAAGATGATAAAATTTAATATAGTGCACTAATCATTAGAATGATGTACTTTCAGTTATTGAATTCAAAACTAGATGTTGTATCTAGCGTTGAATTGAGGTACTATCATTAGTGATTAAGAATTTTTGGGTTTTAATACCATCCCTCTTGGTATACACAAGATCATGTGTATAATATGTCTAGTTTGTCATTGTAATCTTGACTATATACTTATGAAAGTATATGGTGCCTACTACAAATCATATAGACATCAATCTTGATAGAATGCTATGTTGCATTTCTTGGATCTCCAAGAATCACATTTCACCAAGCATAAAAGATCAAATGTGTCTAGAAAGTCACATGTGTGTTTAGACACATACCGTTTCAAACAAAAGACATATACCTCGCAATTTTCATCCAACATTTCTCATGTTATGCAGAAACAATTTCTAGTCCATATCGCATTCAGATGTGCGGAGACTTTACAAAAAGAATCCCAAACCAATCATTTTCCTTGTTTGTGGTTCTCATACTTTTGGTTCAACAAAGAAGTCTTATTTCAGTCCTTCAATGCAAGCTTGCTTTTCATGTAGTCATTTAACAAGGTTAACCTTTGAATCCGAGAACCAAATTAAAGAAAAATCAAATATGATACTGACAAAAAGTTGTAACATTTTTCGAATGACTCCATGACCATTTTTATGAATTGTGCCCGTGGATGCTGTTGGATCTGTCTACGGATCCACATTGACAGATTTAGATAACTTTCTCATCAGAATCTGGCTCTTTGATCTGGTACAAACTAGGCCTGATCCATGACCAGATTATGGATCCGGTCCGCATATCTAACATGATCCGCTAGCTGATCTTCAAAGGAGAAAACTCGTTGGTTGCAAAAATCCAACCTGTGGGGCGGATTTAAAGCGGATCCGTGTGCAAATTGCCTGGATTTTTTAAAAATCTTCCAAACAAGTTATATTCAAGTTCAAGAAAAAGCAAAGTTTAGATGATATCATTCTAGCATTCAAGATATCATTTCATAATATGAACTTTACGTCAATTATATAACAGCAATTGAAAATTCAACATGGATTTCACATCAATTATGCTACACATAATTGAACATTCAAGATATCTTTCATATTAATTATTCTACCATAATTGAAAATGAAAACACCAACAACTTTGTAACCTGTAAATTTCCTTTCATGGATCTATCACCAATTTGACCCCTTAAAATTCTTTCACACAAGTAACATAGTAGCACACATGTAAAACGATAAGACAAACCTTTAAAGATGTCATGAACAAACCATTATGCCACGTTTGAATAACAACCGCCTCAGTGTCATGAAAGTAGCTTCATTGCCATCCTTTTAGTTTGTTTATCAACTTGATCCATCGTCACAATGTTGAAAAGCCAACTCCTTCAATAAAGTTGCCATCACGAGCTTTGTAAAAAATTTAGCCTAAAGATTGTTGGTGTACGTTAGAGGAACGTAAACTTGTGATGAATAACAAGAAATTGGCTCCAAGTCGTGAATTCGATTCACTTTTTTTTTTGGCTAAATTCGTCCTCTATTTATCACAGACGAATTTCCTTTAGGATAAAATGAAGTTTGTCTTGATAACACGTTGCACTAGTGTTCTAGACCCAATAAAGAAGTGTTTGGTGTATTTTTACAGAATATCTTGTATTGATAGGATGATTTTCTGCAGCAAATGAGCCCTCAATTAATCTCTTTGTAGATTAGGAGATGTGATAGATTGGTGACAACCATCCAAGTGATAACATTTCATTATTAAAATAGTTACTTCTATTGTGAAGGTGCTAAAATGATAGATTGATTGTAGCACTTCACACTTGTATAAACTGTCATCTTGTAAACTTTCATTTCTTTTGAAAATCTCCAACATTATCTTAATCCACTAAGAGGGGTTAAATTAAATTCATACCGTTGGTTGCAATAACACTTGTACTTTTCTCATTGATACTGGTACTATAACTGCCAAAAGGTTCGGATGTTTGATTATGGGCTGCACCTTAGCCCGCCACCCCTTCCCCTTCGCTTGTGTGAGTTGGTGCTTTTCTTGCTATTAATACCGTTGCACTTAATACCTTCACTGAATCATTGAAACATTGTAACAGAGATGGATAATCCTGCATATATATTTGGGTTAATCTCGACAGCACTTCAGGTTTGTCCTTGCTTCCTCCTCACCTAGCACTCGAAACCGGTAGCAAGAGTTATTCAAATTGCTATTCTTGTATAGTATTAGCTTCATTTTCTCTTAATATCAAGTAATACTCCATCTAGTACTTCACAATATTTATTTTTTTGAAAAAATTATTGCAATTTACTCTGAGCTCATAATTTATGTCATAAACGTTAGAAAGCTCTTCAATTTATGGTGCAATGCATTAAAAGTCTTAATTGTCAAAGCCTTGGTACAAGCCGCTGAAATATGCTTTTATTCCTTTATCAAGAAGCTCAATTGCTTTCTAGTTCAAAATTATTCCCGGTCTGTTATTCAAACTATTTCTTTTTCTTGATGTTAACAGTTTTAGTTTTGAACAGGTGTTAGAATTGAGGACTTCAAATTTTACCAGCCATTTCGACATGGATAGCGATTTGGAAAAAGTAAGTTGCAATTTTGTTTGTCAATGACTGATAAAACTTTCTTCCATTAATGCTGAAGTTTTAATTGCTTATCTCTTTCGGAAAATTTTCTTAGCAGAGCTCAACAGATATATCCCATGCACTGTGTGACATCCACAAAGCATTAGTTGAGGCATGCCAAACACACAAGTTGCCTTTTGCTCAGACCTGGATGCCTCAGTTAGGGAAATGTCAAAGCTACACAGATAATGCCCTTTCAACTACAAGTAACGAATATTACCTTGAACACGCAGGATTCTCTTTGTTTAGAGATATCTGTGAAAGTTTTCAGTTATTGAGAGGGCAAGGGGTTGTTTGGCAGGCATTTTCTTCAGGTACTCCGTGCTTCTGCGGGGATATGACCAAGTTGAGCATAGCTGACTACTCCTTTGCTCACGTTGGGAAAAAGGTTCTCTTAGACAGTTCTTTAGCAATTTGTTTAAAGAGCGATCATACGGGGGATCATGTCTATGTACTCGAGCTCTTTCTGCCCTTTAGAACTGCCGATCCTACAAAACTTTTGGAAGCTGTCTTGCTCACAATGAAGAAGCATCTCAATAGTTTCAGACTTGCTTCTGGACCAACATTGGGGGATGAGATGTTTGTTGAAGTTTTTAGAGTTTCAAAAGAAGACAAGCTCGAATTTTTCACACTGTTTCATACTACCGGTGGTTCGGATGGACTGCAGAATCAGCAACTGTTCCCACAAAAGAACTGGGAATTTAGTGATGTAGATTATGCAAAGATATTGGTCGATGAAGGATCATGGTGGGATCAAGTGATTAGTTATGTAGATTATGCCCCTGTTTCTATAACTAGTCGTGGAACAAGTGATGATGTTTTTGGATGGAAGGAAGACTCTTGTGATACTCCATCCGTGAAGGAAGGAAACAGTTATATTAATTCTGCCGCCTCAACATCTAGATATCCAGAACAAGATAATTTGGCAAGGCTAGTCGCAGAAGATGCTCAATTCAGTGCATTTCCAAATCTTGATGTAGACTTTTGGGATAATAAGGAAGGCATAAGTTCAGCATCAGATTTGGACAAACTTGACCGTGAAAAAGTTGAGAAACACTTTGGTTTGAAGCTTAAAGATGCTGCTGAGAGTCTTAAAGGTTAGTCATTGTGGCATATTTTGGTGCACTTGATACTTTATCTGGCCATCTTTTTAGCTCAATGATGCATTTATGACTTCCTATTCCCAATTTTCAGTGAGTCCATCCACGCTCAAGAGGAAATGTAGAAAACTTGGCATCCCAAATTGGCCGCGCAAGAGAAACCAGGGCACTTGCTTTGCTACAAGCACTGAATCTAACAAAGACCGCGAAATACGTAATGCAGAATATGGTCAGGAGGTCTCACATCCTAATGTGTCTTCTCAAGAAGGTACAACTTCCAGCAAGCACAATTCCTCACAAGCTGCAACAATAGCGAAGGATAGCTTCATGATGATAAAAGCTGCATATGGAGAGATTAAAAAGATTAAGTTTCCGCTTCCATTTTCGTCACCGTTGGTAGATTTGGAGATGGAAGCAGCATCAAGGCTTGAGTTAAAAGTTGGAAATTTCAAGCTTTGGTATTTGGATGAAGATGATGACTGGATATTGATAATCCGTGATGCAGACTTGAGGATTATGGAATCAATGGGTAAGAATACAATCAAAGTGTCTATCACTCACGGCGATGATTCCCCATACTAAAAAAAAAAAAATCACTAAAGCCGAGGGACAATGAATGTTTTCACAAAAAAGGAAACATCCTTGGCACCATTCTTTTACATTTGCTGCGTTTTGCATTATTCAATTAGTGATTGAAGCCTTGAGATTAGATTCGTAAAAGTGTACTTGTAATTTTTTTTTACTGCCTTATCATAACAGGGCAACTACACAGGCACCAGCTAGTGCCCATTTTTGTGCCTGGTGACGAAAGTGGCAGCTCTCTGTCGTGATGTGGTCTAAAATTTTTGATTTGTTATACCTGAAGGTGGCAGCTCTGTATCATGTGAAAATTTTCTACCAATTTTTGATATAATAAATACAGAACCAACTTTGACCACATAAAACAGATGATACATGCCAGAGTAGATAATCTTGTTTGGAAAATCGCATTGAAAGTCCCAGAATTAAGTTTAAGGTATAGAGGAAAAGAGAAGGTGAAGGCAATGAAGAACGCGGTAACAATCCGACTTTTGTCTATCTGCTGGGAATTATTTTGAGGCCCAAAAGTTGCCAATGACAAGACCAGTGCAAGGCCTACAAAGTGGAAGGTGAAAGAGAAACTGCTGGAGGCTTGGAATGCCAGCAAATCGTTGCTGATTACCGCAAAGTAGAAACACACTTGATGATAAGATTCAACAAGAGGAAGCCGTTAATGCGGCAACTGATACTCCTGAGCCTCCAGTAGCCAGGCATAATGGTAGCTCTTTTATGGTATAGAAAAAGATCAACTTACACTCTTGATTGATCAACCCATTTAGGTACTTGTTATTCTTTCTTCAAATGTTGTGATATTGCTTTTTACAAGAAGGTATTACGACTAAGGTTTTTGCTTCAGCTACATCCAAGATTGGGTAATTTCCTTCTTCAAATTGTATGATAGTCTTCTTAAATGGGGCATTAGCATATTCTTTTTTAGCTCTCTCGGATAAGCAGATATACTATGTGGGACTCTTGATTATTGAAATATAGAAGAATCAAACGTCACTAGGGCCTTTCTTGATCAACCGCCTATTGAAGTTAGGCCTTTAGTTTCTCAAAGACACTTCAGGTGTTATAGGAGGGATCCGCTTAACTTGCTTATATTTACTCCCTTGTTTCTACCAAAATAAAATTATCCTATGCATGCAGATCAGCGCATGTTACATTTTCTAGGGGATGGATTTCTTTTATGAGATGCGTTATGGTCTATCAAAGAGCAGCTGAAGTATAAGCTCTACATGTTGTATCCAAAATAGAAGTGTAGAAATAAAATGGAAAAGATGTACATCGTAGCTTTGCAGGTAGGGGTTGTGGCAATGGACCATGGGCAATACTGTTTACATATGTTGTATTATTGTTTAAATGTGTTGTTTTAATATTCACATTTTACCGTACAATTGAAACTTGTAATTGTAGATGCCCTGGATCCTAGTTTGATGAACTTCATAATTTATAGGGCTGAGCTGATATACGTGTATCTAAATACATCTTCGATGGATGAAATTTTTGCCACATTTTCACTTCTGTATGATTTCACTTTTTTGAATTAAAAAATTGTGCTCTAAATTTTTTGTAATTTCGTTCCAACATTTTTTTGTATGAGTTTTTTAGATCAAGGTTCTTAATCCAGTGTGGGGGCGAAATGAGAATATGTTTAGATTGCAAGTTTTTTCATTTTAGGTCAATAGTTGCATCACAGACATTATGATTTTAAGATTACAGACACAATGCGAAAACCAGAAATTTTGAGAAATCACGAGTGCATGTTCACTCTTCAGGAGATGGGCGTATCTAAACTCGAGGATGAGGTTTAGATAGTATCAACTAGCAAGTGGCCTCATTGAATCATGTCATCCTCTCAAAATTGTTAGCAATTTCGATAAAAGATCCAAGAAAAGACAAATCGTTCCTGATCAAATAGTCATACTAAACCTGTTGATTAAAATTTCAGAAACACAAAGCAACCTCATTTATTTGGGCGGCTACAACAGACTTCATAATAGTTGAAAGGTCGAATTTTAGGGTTTAGCGCCAAGCGCTGGCCTGATCAAGCTAGCGTTTCCTAGTACCCGACCAAACGTACATAGAGGGGGCAAAAAACATTTTTTTCCCTTCGGGTACAGGGAAATTATTACATATAAAGCGTTAAAGAAAGTTCACAATTTTCCTTTGGGTTCTCAACTTTATTCATAATCATGCTTGAGGAACGCGTCCATTAGTTACGGCAGCATAGACTCTGATCAGCAAGCAAAGGCCGAAAATGGACCAAGATATGATCTTGAGAGAGAACGAGAAAGGAACTGTTATTGCAAGAAAGAATGCTGTGAAAATAGATAGCTTTGCCATTAGTATTAAGGCATTTGCGAAGTTTGGAAGATCCTGAGCAATGATGCTCGACACGAAAGTAGAGGCGAAAGCAAACATCATTGCAAGGGAGAGCAAGTGCACGAGCGGAGGGAGTTTGACTTGGGGTTGAAGGGATTGAAGAGCTATTTCAACTGCTGAAGTCAAGCAAAATGCAATGATTATAGCTGCCAAGTCAAAATGATATGGTGGTTGATAAACATGGTGAGCAGGAGCAACACCACCGGAAACTGGTACAGCTGGTTGCGGACCAATGTTTTGCTCCTCAAGTACAGCGGCCTCCAGGTCAAGTACAGAAGGTGGAGGAGGAGAAGGAGGAGGAGGGTTGTCCGGGATAGCCGACGTAGATGAAGGTGAGGTTGACGTGAAGAAGATCAAATTCCCAAGCATTCTGCTCACGGCTGTAATTTTCTGAACGCAATAGGTCGATATTCTCCCGTAGGTGGTCTCTAACCAGGCCTCCATTTTTGTGAGCCTAGTATTTTCTAATCTGATTAATGGCTTGAAGATTGAACACCGAAGAATGTTCCTTGGAAATGCAAAATTGCAAATAAATGATGGTTCAGAAGGTATGAGCTGAATGGTATTTAAATGATGATTCCCAGGTGGTATAAATAGAATTAGGTGGTTGATGTCGATGCTTAATGCTACCCTCCAAATTAATGTAATACTTGTCTTTTTTGGTGTACATCATCTCTAGGGCAAAAGATAAGGAGAACAAGACCAGACGACACTTGGTATTGGACATGCTGGGAAGAAAAGGAAAGAAAGGATAAAGAATGGCAGATCGTTCGGCCTTCCCACTTCCCAGCAGTTGTAGGAGATTTGATTCATTCGAAATTGAGATTCGACTTTCTATTCTAGTCTTAACCCCCCCAGTCAAAATTTTTTAGGGTAAATTACTAGTTTCGTATATAATTATATGACAGCTTTAATATTTTAAAATAGTTATATAATACCGTGTAGTTATACAAAGTGAAAATTTGATGGAAAGCAATCTTTGCACCATCGTTGATAGAAATGCTAGCATTACTCTTAGTTTAGTACTAAACAAAATAGTGGTCTAAGTGTTTTACATATATCATGGAAGGATTATGTGGACACATGCGAAACAATAGGGTTAAATGAATACATAAGTAAAAATATAAGGAGGTTACATGAACATTGTAATTTCATCATACATGATTTTGAAAACGAGTCTCGGTCAATTGCGATAAACGCAAATGCTTTCCATCCATTTCTTTACTTATATAAAGACATGAAATAATTATGTGGATATTTTAAAATATTTGAAAGATCAATGTGATATAATACAAATTCACAAGTCATCCATAAGTAATTTCCCCAAATTGTATAGTTTTTCAACTCGGATTACAAGTCATGCATTTTCCAAATTTCCCCAACTTCTATAAGAGGGATAAGATGGGAAAATACTTGTTCAGATTCTGACTTCGCATAACATGACACACATCGTTTTGCAAGTGTGGAGAGAAAAGTAGAAAGTGTATTAACACATAAAAGTTCTCGCTCAAGCAAGCTAAATATCCAGTTAGTTTTAGCGTTTTAATTTGGACTTAGTCTCTGATCTCTTTAATGATTCTGTCCCCAGTAAGATCTGCAGCAACAACTTTTTGCTGAAGGCTAAAGCTAATCTCTTGCCCACACTATCAAAAGGCTCAGTTTTGACATTCTTGACCATTCGGCCACTGATTTTCCATTTGGTTTTTACTATGAACTTTCCCCCGAATATGAAAATATTAAAATTCTTGCTTCTTTTCTTCCCCTCCCAACATTTCTTCGTTTCTATCCTGTGCTCCTTGGTTAAGATGACAGATGCAGGTATTCTAAAGAAAATTTGCTGTTGACGTCACTTTCTTTCCACCTGCCATCATGCATGTTCTTGACTCCTCTCCAACATATAAAACTACTCCTTTTCCAGGGGCGTCAAATTTAAAAAGTTTCCTTGTCCCAAAAAACCAAGATAATATATATATATATATATACGTCGAAGAAAAATGTGACAAAGCATATTTTAGAAGTTCCTTGGTTTTGTAAAAAAGTTAATGGAGAAGAGCCCAGATCAAATATTTATTATCCACATTAGTCACTTGAACCAACACTCGGGAAGATTCAATTAGAAGATTCTAAAATTTAATGCAACAATATTACCTGCCACACCTGCTAATTCTTCGTTATCTTTATGATTATCCTTCTGAAAATATTTTTTCTGATGGCTAAAAGGAGAATACTTTTTATGAAAAATTGTAGCTTTTGTTTAAGATAGAGCAAGAAATAACAAGCCAAACTATAAGCAAATTAATCTACAACGTTGAGTCAAAAATTGAAAAAGGCAAACCCCAATCTGGCGCTAACATCATGCCATGACAGAACCACAAACTCCCATTCCTGCATTGCCAAATCTTGCCAGAAAACAAATTTGTAATGACTATCGAGTGAAGGTAGGGAAAGTTTCACGAACGTGTTCAAAATTCTAACGGAGTCGCTACAAAGACCTCTCCCCACGTCGGAAAATGTCTGGTTTTAACTAAAGAAATAACCACACGATGAAAATAAAAAACCCAATCTAATGGAGTTGCTCCCAATTATACTCCCCCCCGCAATAGCCTACCGGAGTTTTAAATTATTGGCATTTGGGCTCTTGAACCAAGTTATTCTCCAATTTCAGTAACAACATTAAAAGAAAATCCTGAAACGACCAGTTGTTCCAAACAATAATCTTTCTTACCAAACCTATTTGCTTTTCCCAACGTGAGACTACGACGATAAAAAGTTGAAGAATAAAGTACAATTCTTATGATTATGATTATTATTATTTGGTAGACCAGAAAAGATAGCATTTGCGGCCCATGGGTGTTAACCATTTCCAATAATCAGGCGCAACAGGAAGAAGAAGGCCGGGAAGGATGTTATGGGAGCTTCATATAGTAGATATGTAATAGTTTAGAAGATATGCAGTGATAAGTTT